AAGAAGTTGGAGAATGTACAAGAGGATACAAGAAAATTTTTCACAGAAAACAAAAATCATAAAGCAGTTGAGGAAAAATTGAAATGGTATAATACATTATACGATACAGGAAAAAGTTAGATCAGGAACAGGTTATTTTATCTATTACTTTAATAGGTTATTAACAGGGTAGTGTAGATTTAATGAACATGTGCCAAATAAACAAAGGGGATTGTTACAAATTTACTGTCAGCCTTTATGGATACACACATTCACTGAAGAAAATGTTTTACCATACAGTAACTTATGTACAAAGGAAAGGACAAAAATCAACACTGTGTACCGCAAGTATAGAACTGGTGAACAAGAGTTTTTAATGGATGCAGTACAAGTGCTACATAAAACAGTTATTGTTGTACTTACTGCAGACGGAGCAGTTAATTTCATCCGAGTTATCGCCACATCCGTCCCTTCCAGAACAGGCGACCGCTGTCGACCTGCACCGTCCGTTGGCGCATCGAAAAGGGCAGAAATGTGCAGGACCTCTTCCTAGGCAGGCGCCTTCCGGTTCGTCGCTTCCGTCCGGGCAACTGAGGACCGCGTTGCAGAACTCGTGGCCTCCGATGCAAGTCCCATCTTTGCACCTGTACGTCCCTCTCGGGCATCCTGTTGACAAATTAATGTTGAGAACTACTTTGGCGAGCAACTTAAGTAATATGGGCATTGCATATACATGTATTACGATAATAATCATACATACATCAGATAAAACGAAAGAAACCAACTTATCATTCATCAAACTTGATCAAGATGGGTTACCCCCAGTACTTAATCAAGATCATACCTCGTCCGACAAAAGTTCGTAATATCAATTCAATGCGTAGAATTACGGGTTGGTCAGCTGGAGTCCCAAAATGCTCTGTTCTGGGACCTACACTGTTCCTCATTTATATTAATGACATGCCCAAAACCCCTGGCGTTAACTGGCCTTGCTCGCGGATGACACTTAGCTCTACACATCATCATGGAGAGTGGGTCTGTAGTGAACCGATTGAGCAGGCAGCGGACAGGACTATCGGGTACTTGACGAGGTGGAAAAAAGTGTGAACAGGAGTCTGAAGCCATACTCTTAGCCATAAAGACCCCCAACTGTAGACCTTAAAGTTCCCTTTAATGATGAAGAAATTACTGGTCTCCCTCAATATGGTACCTCGGCGTTCGACTAGATGCTAAGTTAACGTTTACAGCCCATATCAATGAACTAATTCAAAAAGGGAAAAACATGTAAAAATACTTTTTCCACTCCTGTGCCGAGAGTCCCAGTTGAGTGTTTATAACAAAATGCTCATCTACAAAACCATAGTAAGACCAGTGATTACATATGCATGCACTGCTTGGGACTTAACTTGTAACACCAATTATAACAAGCTACAAAGAACGCCAAATAAGTACCTAAGTTTATGCAGTAACAGCCCTTTAGCAAGATAGATGAACTCCACACAAACTCCGGAGTGCAATTTGGCGTGAGTTCATAGAAACCAATAGTCAAAAATTTTTTGATAGATATTTTGGTAACACCAGAAGATTAATTCAAGATTCGGACAAAAATGTGCACCCAGAGCCAAACACAAAACCCTATGGGACCAAGTGGGAGGATCAAATATATTATCGCCTAACTTGTGTACTCAAACATGTTAGTATGTGTGTATATGTGTGAACATGTGTCTGTATATGCAAATATATTTGCATAAATATATACAAATATATTTATATTTATTTTAAATGTATTTATATTTATTATTAATTTACTTTATTAAATAAATTAGGTTCTCATATATAGACTTATTTGTTTATTCTTATCACAATAAGAAATATTAGTCGAAGGTTTTTTTTTAATTTTTCCCTATTATAAACATATACATATAAATGACTACCAATGGCAACTAAGTTGCCAATTAATTGCCTGGTGAATAAAGGTATTGTCCAGGGGGACACTGTGCATGTAATCGTATTTGTTTCTTAAAATGAAATAAATAAAATTAATAATTAAAAGAAGTAACAAAAAAGAACGGACTGCTAGAAAGAATTACGATAACGGAAGGCAAAACGATAAATATACATTAGGAAAAACATAATATTTATACGGGGTATCCAATATAATTATGTTCACACGGTTATCACGAGAAAATTATGCACAATAAAGGTAAAATAAAGGGCATATAATTTGTAATATTTTTCATTGAGAACAGTTTGTTTTATTTTGTAATTGGCAAGGCTTGGTTTTCTTAATTTGGGTTTTTCAACAAAATAAGGGTAACATAGCAGGATGGGCGAGTTCATCTATATATCACCTCATATTTTAGCACAATTATTTTCTTTAATAATAAAAATGATCAGGGATGAGGCCAATTAAAGAATATTAATTTCTTCGTTGAGGTTTTAACGAATATACCTCCTTCATATTTTACCATGATACTATTTAACTGGTGTTAGTGTTGAGTTGTAAATTTTACAACTCAACTCTAACACCATCCACTATTACTAATAATACTACATTAAATCTATCGAATACAAACAAACCAGCATACATTTCCATACCATTTATCCAAGGCCTATCACANTCACACCAGACCGCATCTCACGATTTCTAAATAAATATCGATTAACGGTCACTAATTAATGGTCACATTAGCATCTATTTACAATATTTAAACCCAAGACGTCAAGTAAATTACGAATTAAATGTACAGATATCAAGCAAGTCCCTTTCATTCCATATCATGAATATTAACTTCCTGTTATTCTATCTAGAACAGGCAACACCCTCCCATTTAACCAAAATCAGCCAAATAATGTCACCAACAATATTCATTGCGAAATAGACAACGATTGTCAGCAATTAAAAATTATCCCATCGATAACTATAATAAGAGATAGACAATTATAATATGTAATACTGATAAAAAGCACAAAATATAACTGAAATCATAAAAAACTAACTACTAATTTCAAAAATTGAGAAATTTTCTTCTACGACTCTATGTAATTATGAATACTATTTTGTGCAAGGAAATCATAATTCATGTTATAAACACATTATGTTGAGCTATCTACTCCAAGAAAATAATTTATAAATACTGTTTTGTGTTTTAATTTAATTTAATTATTAAAAATTGGTTATTTAAAAACGTGTATGATATATTTAAAAATAGAGGTAATACAGTATATCTCTAGTATACATCTTGCTCACTCAAGTACTCCCTTTATCACTCGCTCACCCACTAACTCGATCACTTTTTCTCTCTCTCACTCACACATTTACTTTATCTATCGCTCTCTCACCACTCACTCACTTACTCATTTTTTCTCACTCATTCTTTTTTTCCAACTGCAGCCACCTTGCTGAAGGGGAATTTATCAGATCCATTCCGACAAAGTAATTAAAGATCATTAAAAAAAATTTTTTCATTCTATGCAACTAATTTTTACTCAATGAAATGAAAACACAAACACAATAACTAAAACAAAATTTACCCAGAAACAAGAAAATAAAAGAAATTGTAATGCTTCAGATTAAGTTAAAGTCCATACAGTTTAAAAATTACAAAAAGTTCTTCAAATGTTTATTAAGTAAAACTTCAAATGATGCTGGCCATGCTTCTCCCTGACAAACGACTGCACCTGTCAAATTCTTCCTTTATGCATGAAAGTGGTGCAATCCAGGATGATGTGTTCCCACGTCTACGGTTTATCAGTATATATATAGTATATACAGCGATCGCTTTCTTTCGGAAGTCTTGCCAATTTTTTGGCAGCATTTTTGCCATGTCCGCATATAGTCAGAGTAATTTTATAATTAATTGGCAATTCCACCGCCAACTTTTAGGCGTGCAACCTTTTGACCGTGATGTGCCTTATTTGCTCCCATCTTTGGTGTCCACGTTCGCTTATTTGGCTTCGTAGGAGAAGGGTACAGGATTAAATTCTGGTTTCAGTTTAGAGTCACCTGCTGCTTGTTTTGCTAGCCTGTCGACTACCTCATTACCTATGTGAGCCTTGGTCTGTTCGAAGTTTACATTAACCTAAATTTCCTTTCGAAGTTTCCAAATTAGATATCTGATGTTCTCTACAGTAATCAGGTGGTTTCGTCGATCCATCACTCGGTTTAGTGCGATTTGACTATCAGTCCAGATAGTTATTACTATCGCCTTAATTGACCGTTTTAGCAGCCAGTCCATGGCTTTCGGAATGGCAATAACTCGCGTAGTAATAAATTACTCTATCTACCACTCTCTCACACACTCACTGAATTACACTCTCTCACCAACACACTAGCTTACTTACTCTTTCTCTCTCTCTCTCACTCACTCACCTACCACACACACTCTCTCTCTCTCTCTCTCTTTCTCTCTTTCTCTCTTCCTCTCTCTTACATACTTACTCTTTCTGTCTCAATCTATCTAGTTTCTATTTATCTGCCCCTTTCCATTTTGCCTTCTTATCTTCTTTTATCTATATCTTTCTATCCTGGTGACGAATGGAACCATGTAGTAATGAAAACAGATTAACCCACTTCTATTTTCAAAGTAAACATAGTAGTAATAAACAACAGGTTTTTAAAGTTTGGTTTTGTTCATAAGTTCCTAAAATTTCATGCCCTGACATTTTAGATTAAGTAATACAAAAATAACGAGAGTTAAGGCCTTGGTTGGTTACCGTAAAAGCTTTCTTTCCAATACGACGTAAGGTCTGAAAGGTTTGGGGACGAGGAGAAGATGTGAAATCAATTTGTCCAACATGAATAATTTTTTGTCTTTTCATATATCTATTAAATCGTTTCCGTAACGAAACGCACGTTTTGAACTATGTTTTGCGCTGCACAAGGATACAATAATGCTGAATGATATTTTTATCATTCAAAAAGATTAACCGATAAACAATATGGCTATCTAATCTCTCGGCAGTGGTTTCTGATGCCCGCCTTTCAGAAATGCCCGCTCGCTTTGACCCTGGCCTCTCATTTACAATAATAATTAATAATAATAAAAATGTTTATTAATAAAGTTGTTTACAAAATAAAAAACAAACTATCTCAGCGAAAACATTTTTTTTCCTTGGATACTAATCCGTCAGCAGAGTTGCAATATTTTTTTTACAAGTTTTTTATTTTTTTTATTACTACAATAAAAAGAAAAAGAAAGAAAGCACAGAGTAAAAAAAACTGGAAACCCTGCTTTAGATGCACACTATGATGGTAAAACCCATACTTACATACCGAGCTGTAGCCTAGGCCGATAAAGCAGAACAAATATCTAAAAGAAAAGAACATGCATTTCCATAGCGGGTGCAATGAGAACATGTCCCACAATTAGCATGGAAAAAGTATTGGGATTAATCGACCCATGGTAACGAGGACACCGCAGAAAACCATCATTAGTATTAGCAAAGAGAAATCTCCAACAGGAATACAACTAAAATGGAGAAACAGCAATAAAATAATGAAAGACCATCCGATTACTCATGGCTCCGAGAGACGACATGAACAGGATGTTTGCATTTAATCAAAACCTCCGAATAAACGTAGGTACCAAAAAAGAATGGTCACGAGAGGGAAACACCTCTTTTAAGATTGGCACCATCCTTTGGTACATAGATGGATCTAGAAC